GATAGGGGATAAATCCCTGTGTTTGATTGCTAACAGCATATGAAGTAGATATAGTTCATAACTGTGTTTATGTGGTTAGTATGTGGTTGTGAAGACCTGTTTGAAGAAGTTGGTGATGGTAAGTGTTGCAGGTCTAAAGCCTGTCAGACTACACGACTCATCTCCACTTGTAGTCCTCTCCAGGGAGCGCCTTCCCATGATGCTTGAGTTCCTCCGTTCTGACCATGAGCCTTTTCGCTCTGAACATAGACACACATAAAAAAAATAACAATATTTGAACTTTCTTCATTTCTGTTTATTGATAGCTTTTTCTTTCTGGGGTTGCTAAAACAGGCTAAGGATTGCTACCATATTTCAGTCTCATGTAACAGCGTATATAGTTCTCTGATACGTCTAGCAACAAAAAGGCAGCCGACAGAGTCAGCACCAAAGATATCTTGCAAGGTCAAAGGTTAAATAAATACCAAGGATCAAACTCAAAATAACACACCGCGGATCAATATTGCCGGGTACTCTGCTTGGATGTTTTGCGCTGTCTGAATTTGCTTTCTGCACTGTTTGCAGTTGGAAAGTTGATTTTTAGATAAATAAGTGTAGCAATATATTCATTAGCCCACGAGCCTTATGCGTGACTTCCAGGTCTCTGTTACAGTCTCTGTCCCTTAATAACTACATATGTTCCACTGTGGCTGTGAGTGGATAGGAGCATAAAAAACATTGCCTCCAGTTTTTTTGTGCCTCCACATTGTGAATGCTTATGACCTGATGCTGAGAAATATATATATAAACTTCCAACAGGTTACTTTAAAGGAAATATCAGACCTGAGAGGCTCATCTCCAGCTCTGTGTCTCGCTCAAGACTGCCAGCACTGTTAACAATGTTCATTAGATGGATAGCGGTCCAAGCAAAGGGCATTCGGTAGCGGCCCAAACGTTGGCAGAACTGCTCTGACTGGCTGCGAAGCTTCTCCAGCTTCTCTTTATTCTACAACAAAACACAAGTTATAAACTGTATGTGTGCAGATTAACACATATGTCAAAACAAGAGCTTCATGATAAATCATTTTGTGAGCATGATTTAGATCCCAATGTGAACTCGGTTTCACGTGACAATAATTCTGCTGTGTTTGCATTAACAGGGCGATGGCTTGCATCAAATCAAGTGCTCCTTTTTTACATCACGTGGCGAGCTGTAGACAGGAAGAGAGACTGATTTAAAAACAAATCCAACATGTTTGACATTGTGAAAGGTATTCTGTGCCCTCCTGCAACTATTTTTCAAACAATGCGCTGCCTGCACTATACACTTAGTGCCAAATAGTAGTTGAGGCTGCAACAAATCACTTTGCAGTTATTTGTTGTAGTTATTAATTGGATGCAAGGAATCTCATTGCTAATGTAAACACGGCAGAATCATTGTCATGTGAGACTGATATCGCACAGGGATCTAAATCACACTCACAAAACGATTTATCGTGCAGCCCTAGTCAAAACATGATTATACACTGAACATTTAGGTGATAAAGTGGGTAACACTGCCAAAGACAGGGATAGAGTTTTAAAACTATTTAAAATGTGGCTAATGTAAGGGATAAGAAACCATGTTTTTATTATCTTATAAGACAAGACTCCATAATACTTTATATTCTATACTTCACAGTAACCATACCTTGGCAGCATCTGACTCTTTGAAGACCATGTAGGGCTCAGCACACTCTCCAATATCACCTTGCTGCAGTACCTTTTCCAGCTGGAAGACAAAGTACACATAGCTGTAAGTTACCACATTCACACACAGCAGTGATGTGATACACAGGGTAAACAGTGACCGCGTCAGCCTGCATGTAAGACAACACTCTCTTTTGGAAACTTAAGACAGAAAATTGCAGGTCGTATTGTATTTGACCAACAAATATTCTTTTTGAATGAAGAAAGTACCAGTATTCAAGTCCATTTATAGTCTATCTTTTAGAATTAGTTGGGCATAAAATTGCCTGAATCCCAGTTAAAGCTCCAGAAGTGGCTTTTTAAATGAGTTTGCCTGCCACAAAGGAAATAACAATAACAGTCTAACAGTTAAGTTACCTTGATGACTAGGAAGACATCCTGGGAGGGGTAGGTGATGGAAAAGATAGCAGAGCGTGCCAGTGTAGTGATGGCCGCTGTCTGAATGTGTGGACGTAGCATCGCCTTCGTCTGCTCAGAGTTCAGGTCGAAGAAAAAGTTCTCCGATATCTGAAGGACACATACAAACAGGTAATTATAATATGATTCAATGTAATACTACGAGTACAACATGGCAACCATTAATAGTCACAATCTTTGAGCGAATGTCTCTGCAAGCTGCTACAGCCTATAGTGGCTGACAAACAACATTTCAGTGACAAACGAGTCACTTGTAAAATAAAGGAGTTCTTTGCAGACATCCACTTATCAAGGCAACTGCTACCCTCTAGTGTTTGTCAGCTAAAGGGACGCAGAAGGAAGCAAAACTGGATGGGATTCTTCAGATAGATACATATTTCCAGTGTGTGATTTAACTACATTCTCACAAGATAACAGGCCCACAACATAACATTTTATAGTCCACTCATCAAATCGGTTTTGGCCTCCCAGCAATTTTAATGGTTTGCAGAAGTGACCCAACAACTCAGGGCTGAAGAGGCACTGAAGAAAGCATAACAGCTTACCTTTTTCTTTTCCTTGACATCGTATAAGGCCAAACTAGCAAATATCGGTTCAATTTCGATCTCAAACCTTCAAGGGAGAAGAAAAAGTAGTGTGTCAGCAGAAAGCAGCAGTTAAATAAAAGGGCTAAAAAGCTTTTTTTCTGAAAAAGAATGTCCACCACTTACTTCAAGGACAAACACTTGACTAGTAGCCTCTGACCAAAGTGTTCTTTAGGTACTTCAGGCACACAGTGGCGCTCAATGGGTTCCTCCTACACATTCACACAGAACATTGAATACAAAAAATACATATATCAGTGAAAATGACCAATTTTCTGCATTTACATACAGTAATGAAATACACTTAACACTTCATGGAAAGGTATGAATTACAACACAAAAATTACTGACATCCTGGGACTGGTTTTCAAACACAAAGGTTGAACTTGTTTACTTGCTTAGATTGAGTAACCTACAAATATTAGTAGCAAGAACAAATATGACAAATAATGACAAAATTTACCCTGAAAATGAAATGCTGACTAGCAGAAATGGAATTCAAGCATAGGGGCTGTATTTTACCTCATCAAGGGCAGGGTGCAGAGCAAACAGTTCACGGTGGCGATTGGCCTTGCGCTGTTCTTCGTTATGCCTATCAATCTCCTCATTGGGAGCACGATCAAGCAGGTGAGGGAGGAGGGCATCTGGGAGGGAGTTCTTCAAGTCAAATATGCTGCAGGCCCAGCTGCCACGTGGCGTGTCATCTATAGACATTGACCGCCGCTTCAGGTCATCCTACAACACAAACTAACAGATATGAGTCGCAGGGATACCAACTCATACACACAGTATTTGGAACACTTGTATGACTGTATATGTGGTTGTTCAAAGCAATGTCCTCACATCACCAATTAGAAATTCTAAAATAGGATTAAAAAATAAAGACAAATCAAAGAGATCATTCCAAGAAGGGAGGAAACGGCAAGCAAATTTCTGACACAACTGGAGAATGATCCAGGACTGCTTGTGGTCTTCATGCCACTCTGTACCTGCTGAAGTGGATGTTTACACATCAGTACCACAGTACTAAGGTCATTTTTTTTTTAAATTAGTAAATGATTTGGCACCTGATCATCCTGGTAGCTGCTGCTGTCTGGCATCTCATCAGCCTCAAACACTTGTTTGGGCAGGCCTTTCTGACGCTCCTTCTGCTTGTCTAAAGTGTTGGGGTTAAAGCCTGTACCAAGCTTGTGATATCTGAAGGAGCAAGCAGTCATTGAGACCAATAAGAATATTAATCAGGCGTCTACATAATTATAAATTGCTATAATTTTAAAATTACAATTTTAAAGAGAAAAATGAGATATCACAGGATGACACCTTACTTTCTGTTGACAATGGCCCAGTCTTCTGTGTAGGATCTGACACAGTCTCTAACATGAGGATCAGTGTCCCTGCAGCCAGACACATTCAATCAATCAAACATGTTTTATTTTAATAGCAAGAGTCAGACTTCAAGTGTATTAGTCTACAATATGTGAATAAAGACGATAAGTAATTAGACTGATGTCATTTAATCTCGTCACAGTGAAGTACACTTGCAGCCAGTACATCTCTTCTGAAATACCAAGTGCCAGACCTACAGTAAGCAATGACATAAAGCCCACGGGTTGGTCATTTTTAAGTGTTTGGTACAGCTTTTCCAACAGTTACAAAGAGCAATAATAAAGGCTTACAGAACACACATGAAAGTTACACATTAACAGTTTCTTCTGTATAAACTATACTGATTTCTATAATTAGGTAGATTAGTAATAAAATTTCCCATGTTTAGTATTTAATACAATGCAGCAAAGAAGGATTTATTATACAAGGATTTACACCCCATTTATTCAGGTACTGTCACCAGCATGGAAGCATTTAAAAAAAAAAAAAGAAGCACAGGTATAATAATTATGGTGTGAGACTGTACTTTAACTCCACACTCAACATCTCTGAATCATCCAACACCCTTACCCTTCCTCCGGAACAGCTTGTACCACTGTGCGACACTCCCTGGGCGTGTAGATGACCTCAATGTCATCAGGGGGAAACTCAATCAGATCTCTCAGGGGACCCGATTCAACGATGGGAGGGTGAGTGATGAGGTACTCCTCAAAATCCACTGGCTCCACCGCCTCTGTGAGGGGAACCTGGTGGGTGAAGAGAAGATGGTAAAAGCTGATTAGTGGTTTTCTAATTCCCCACAAAACCTCTTAGGAAGCAGCAGAGTTATAGGTTATTAGTCTTTCTGTGAAATGTCACATGGTGTTGTAGAAAAAGTTGAACTAGAGCCAACTTTTTTCCACACATCATTTTGTCAAAACCCCACAGTGATCCAGCTTTTTTTTTACTTTTTACACAGAGCAATGTTGGTGTGAATCCAGCCTGAAGTTTGAGAGTTTGTCTGTCGCCTTCTTAAAGAATTTGAATACAAATGTCTTTCGCAGTTTAATTAGAAGCTAACTGTAGCCTAATTAAGGAGAAGAGAGGGAGTATTTGTGGATTTGTATGTGGGCTCAGAGCAGCTAGAGATCAATTGGCACTAACCTTTGAACAAATATCTCATCTAAGCTCAAATACTAGTAAACCTAGAAGCAATGCAACAGAGCCTGGATATGGCAAACAGTGCAGCCACTGGTTATCTATGACAGTATTTTGCGAGACAAACAGTTATGCAGAAACTCAAATAACCACTAACAAGTTAAAATGACACCCCTGTCTTAGCCTTTAAAACTACAGTACACTTATCCCAGCAGGTACTACTACACTTAAAATACTCTACTTATTTGTACATTGGCACAGGTTGCATATGACAAAGGGAATTCCGTAAACTAACACTGAACTACTGAGAAGAGACAGTCTTGAGAATGACAACCAAGAAATCCTATGTCAGTGACCTGAGCACACCACATGTTTGTTTTCCAGTCAGCACAGCTTGTATTTTTTCCAAAAGATGCAAAGTCATGTGAGAAGGCAATTTATCAGGTGATGTTTTGAAACTACTCACTGCATTGCTTGTTGTTGTCCCAGCACTGAGGTTTTTGAAGAGTTGTGGGGACCCTCCATATTGGCCTGCTATCTGCTTCCTGACCTCAGCTGCCACAGTCCTGCAAAGAGAAAAGCGACTATTTTTACTACAACAGTAATTAGTGATTAGCAATAAGTATAAAGGTGATTCTACAGTGTGCAGTACTGAAAGACATCTACTTATGTTCAAGATCAATACTGCAAGGCAGTCATGTATAACACATCCCGATACCTGTGTAACTGAAGACAAAAATATCCTCCTAAAATTGTTAAATAAAGCAACATGAACTTTCAAAATTAAGGTTTTTTTCAAACCAGACAAAGGCTGAACTACCAGTTGGGATCTCAAATGTCTGCAGTAAAACAAAAACAAACAATCTTTGTCAGTATGAGAAAAGAACAATTTGAAATATGGGTGTCAGTTTCCCAACCTTGTATTGATAAGATTATTTGTAATCTAGCAAGGACTACATGGGCACCAACAACAGCCTCAAAGTCTTCAACCATGAAGCCAAGGTGATATTTAATCTTTTACTTTAGAAAATTACTTTTTTAAATAACAGCATATACAGCTGAAGAACACAAGAAACTGTAATGTCATCACAATGTGGCTAATGGCTAACATCAAGAACTATTATTGTGTTATGAGACATTTTATGATTCTGATCAAAATTAAAACTTGATGTTGCAGGCAGACAGGTACTAAATTAAAATATATTTAAATATTAAAAACACTCCTTGATACAGCAGGATTTTGCACATGTCTATTTAAATACTTTAAACTGTTAAAGACCAGGCTTATACACGTTGAGGATTAGGCTTCTTGTTCTCTGTGTCTCCGCTCATAGCTTCACCTCAGAGAGCATCATATATTACACCGAGACACACAGGAGAGAAACATAAAAACCTCTGGACCCTAGTGGTCAGCACAAAGTTCTTGGTGTTCAACTGCTGCTGTGGCCACATTCATATACAGCTCCTCTAAATCACAGCAAACACCAAAACCACTCAGATACGTTTGCCTTGAACAAAATAACAACACAGCAACCAGCCCAAAGTGACACAAACAAATACACAAATTAGAACCAAGGATAAAGGACAGACACAAAAGACTCAAGGTTATGTTGCACAGCTATCACAAACACTATGAGGATCCATGATTATGATTAATAATGTTGTTCATTACGTATTTCTAACCAACAAACTGCTCATACTGCGATATCACAATAACTAGTCTGAAGGTTGCTTTATTTGCCGGCTTAAGTTAAACATGATAATGTAGTGTTGTATAGATTCAGTGGCCTCTGCAGCACAGTGCTGTCACCACTGGAGAAAGACGGAAGCACTGAACCAACAAACACATTCCAGTCCTCCCCTCTGACTCTTAGCAGACCTTTACTTATTACTGGTCACTGCACAGAGGAATAACTTGATCACTACAACACAAGCAAATCCCATGAACAAAATGTAAACTGGTGGCAACTGAAGATCATAATATAAGAAAAACATTTAGCAGAAACATGCAATTTAAACATATGGGCAAAGATCACAGCAATTTTAGATGCAAAATTTGCCCCAACATAAGCTAACTCATAATAGTATTAAAAGCACACCTAGACATGCACAGCAGAGGTGCTCTCTTCACTGCCAAATGAATGGGCTAATACCAGCAAGGTAGTGACTTTTATTTTTTCAAGGATTTGTCAGAGATGCCATCCATCCATCCATTTTCCTCTGCTTATCCGGGGTCACTGAGATGCCAACAGTCCATATTCAGGAGATATCATATCACAGACTTGCACAATATAACGTCATCTGATACATAAGCGATCAATAAATGTGCCTTTGTGAAGGATATAATAGTATTTTTGTTGAGACTTTGTCAGAAAGTTGTTCCCTATTTCTACCGTAAATTTTGAGGCCATAGTTTGATACCGTTGTAAGAGGTGGCATTATATTATTGTAAGGTATGTTTGGTATCATTGTGTTTGTTTATCTGCAGGTTTGTTAGCTGACTCCAAAAGGAATCTTTGAATCACCATCTGAATAACCTGCCATGAGAAGAGTATGTCCAGTGCGAATAAATCAACATGAAATTCCAATACCTGGATGGGGTTTTGATTAACAGGAACTGGATTCACAGGACATACCATGACAGGAAAGCATACTCCTCCTTTACTGATAACTACCAAGAATTGCATCCTGCAGGTACTGTACAAAGCAGCAATTTCATATTTTTATATGACACTATTTCAGAGGAAGACTGAACCACCTAGCTGGCAAATACTTTGTTTAAAAGTTATAATGACTTGACTCATAATGAAAAGTGAACAGCAATGACAGTTACTAAAACATGCTTATGTTAAAAGGTGTGGGAGACAGGTCAGTTCTAGCAAAGCATAACATCCATCCATCCATCTGTCTGTCTGTCTGTCTGTCTACTAGATAATGATCTTTGACAGCTAGCACAAAGCCCTTTGTTAAAGAGATTACTTAGATCTGTCTGAGGGCGGGGAAGAAATTATAATATTTCCATTAGATAGCTGCTGGGGGAGGCTTTTGCTCCCAGGCTTACTGTCTTACAGATATTTGCTCTATCCTGTAAATGAGGTCTTGCTTAAAACATAAAATTAACTCAACTGTAGTACCTAGCCGCCTATCGTTAGCTACTGTTGGCAAGACAGCTAACTAGCTGTCCAAAATTAACGGCTTAAGTGCTTTTCGGTGCAGATCATTATTAGAAACCTAACTACTCTTCTGGCCAGAATACATTCATTACAACGACATTTAATCTCGTCCATTTGTTAGCATCCAATAGGACAAAACAAGAGCAGCAGCTAGCAGTGGCGCTGTCTGTCTGGGTGGGTCTGAGCATCTTTGCCGATGTGGCTAACAAACAGCTAGCTGGGAGCAGCCAGGCTATGATGACGACTGGGCCTGCTTCACAGGGCTCCCTTAGCGGTGGTCGGAAAAACACCTATAGGAAAGCTATAAAGTGCTCACTGTGTCTTTTACGAGCTTGCCACAGGGTCTCAAGACTTTACCTGCTGATTTTTTGGGCGAAGGCGCGGCGTTCAGCCATGGCAGCCAGCGCTAATGTGCTTTAAAGAAAATCCCAAGCAGGCAGCAGGAGGACTCCACTCTCCACCCATTCACTACGGCCACTGGGAGAAGTGGAAACGGGAGAATGGGATCATTACCGTAATGACTGTAATGGTGTGCAGCAGAACACACCCCATGATGGCTTTATTTAGAGATGAAAACATAATTTTGACCCTTGTAAATTTCATTTAACATTTGCACTGGTACTGGGAAGTTTGCAAATATGCCTTTTTCATTCTTATTGTATGAATTTACCTAGGAGATTAGACATAGGCTACACCAGACTAGCTATGAAAGGCATTTTAGGTAGTACAAAATACACACAATATTAAACATAAAGTCACAATATAAAGGATAAAGTTCAAGTTTATTTTAACAGTTTTTACGTTCTCAATTATAGATGTCTGTCCGCCCAGCAGCTCAAAACTCAAAGATGTTATGTTTACTGTATGACAAATAAAAGCATAAAATCCTCACATTGGAGAAACTGGAACCTCTAAATGTTTGCTTAAAGATTATAAAAACTATTATTTAATTAGTCAAATAGTTGCAAATTCGTTTTCTGTAGATTTGTTGCAGCTTTGGAGTCAGTGATGTTTTTATTTGTCAGTTTACTTTTGAACCCTTTTCTCTCAAGTAACCACTTTTTGAGTATCCACTAGAAGCATTTCGTGCCAGCTTTTTTATTCTGCAATATAAATTTGTAAGATATCAAATTTTCCTTATGCAATAATGACTTTAACAAACACAAGAAGAGAAAACTAAATCTGTCATGCACACGCACATAACTGTGCTTCTTTTGAACTAAGAAAGGTGCACGGTTTGAGCTTTATTTCAAAACTGAAGTCTAATTGATGTCACTTATATCAGGAAATCTTTTTTAAGAGTGGCTTGCATGCAAAAATAAAATACAGTATAAGAAGACTATAATTTACACAGACTTGGGTTCCATATTTTAATAGCAAAAGTGACCAGTCAGTATATCCCAATTAAATCTCTTTAAATTGGTACAATTTAATTTATATGCTTGTGTTTTATGATGTGAACTTATTTTTGGATGACTATTTGTTGGGTTTTCCCTATGTAATAATATTGATAACAGTAAGGTCTAGACCTTACTTTGTAAAGTGTCCTGAGATGACTTTTGTTGTGATTTGGCGCTATACAAATAAAATTTGATTTGATTTTATTTTTATCAAGATCATAATGTAAGAACAGCAAGGTAATGGGGATAATTAATTTTGAATCCCCGCCTCTATTAATCACAGAGCGCCTGTTTTGTAACGCGGAATAACCCAAGCAAGCATCGTATTCATTAAACATAGCGTGAAAAGTTAAAACGCCGCCCGCGCGGGTGGTCCAGTCGTCCTCGACCTGCTCCCTCTTCTCGTCCTTGGTCCCGGGGAAAACACCGCGAGATCATGTGACGTGACTTTTCTACTTCCTCTGTATAAATACTGGCAGTCATAAGACTGTGATATGTTGCACGGCAAGTCATGAGTGATAGATAATGTTAAGTTATTTGTATATTATAATATGAGGTTTGAACTTTAGTATAGAGCTACAGGGCAGATGTGAAAAGAAAACAGCTGGATCGGAAACGCTCAAAGGTAACGCTGTGCTCACTACAAGCTGTGTATTCTTTTATTGTGAAGTGATACTGCTACACTCAACTCTGTGTATGTAACATTATGTACGTATGCACTGTGTACCAGTGTGTGTGTGCTGTGTGGGAATGGGTTCCATCTCTCGCCGGTGCAAATGGAGAATAAAGGGAGCGACGAGGTGGAAAAATTGAAGACAAAGTTCTTGTCAGTGTGGCACAATGTGAAGTACAGTAAGTAATTTGCTCGAGGCCAGCACACACGCGCACACCAATCACCCAGGCTTAGTACTCCCTGTCCTGTATCTAATGTTTTCATGCATCACTGCTGTGCTGTTTCAATCTGTCCACATAGTTCACAAACTACTTTTCTTGACTAAATTTGAATAATTAGAATAACTCAGTTTTGATTTTTTTGATACAGCTGAAATGCAGAGAGATCAACAGTAATGTGTACTGCAGACACAAGAAACAGCACAAATAAAAACAACCACCAGAATTCAATGAGACAAGCTAGTGCTGTTGAGTCACCCTTTAAAATAGTCCTTTGCCACACTGTCTACAGTGGTTTGTGTGTGACATTGTATTCTTTCAGCTCAGACTTAAGTTTAATTTACGTTTTCACAACACAGTGGTTATTCCCTGCCTTTAATGTAACAGGAAGTGGAGAAAAACGGAATACTGTAGTAGGCAGGAATCTCAGGACCAAGCCAGAACAGTGATTTATAGATGTTCTGCAGTAGGTGTGCCTTTTTGTTTAACTATCATCACCTAACCATGATATATTGTCTGTCTATTGTGTATCTTAGGTTGGGCTCTGAAATCAAAGACTGCATTCAGCCGAAATTCTCCAGTGCTGCTCCTTGGAAAATGTTACCATTTTAAGTCTGACGGTATGTTGTGCATGCATATGCACACACATTTACAACGAAAAAAGACACAAAGACTGCATGACCTGTAATGTCATTGGCATGCATAGTTATTGTCAGACAAGTACTTTCACAGATATTTAGGTAGTGAAAGAGAGGGAAAATGTTGTGTAGTGGTTAAAAATAAACAAGGTACCAGTCCAGAGGTAATATGTAATGGAATAGTATGTAGTTCATGTATAGATATTATTTGTAATAGTTACAGTATGTAAGGGTGAGCTAAGTGTTTATGTAAGCTTGATCTGTTTCTTTTCTCTTGCTCAAACAAGAATATCTTGGATTGTGTCCCCCTTGTTTAATTTATCAGTAAACATCCAGAGCAACTTCCTCCTTAAATGGGGACTGGACATAGCTTCAGCCTTATGTGAATGGTTTGTGTTCCTCTGTTCAGGTTTAGAAAAAGGAAATGTGCGCTAGGTCAATGCGACCTAGAAGTTCATGTACTGGACATTTTAGACAATGCTCAGAAGAAGGGGTGTGGAGCTGGCATGAGACTGTGTCTCTGGCTCAGGCCATAGAAGGCTGTGTAACTGCGAGCAGATAAAGGCTAGGATAGCTGGGTTAGTGGGCGAAGAAGAGAAGAAGAGAGGATGAGAGTGCTACCGTGAAAGTGTACCGTAGACCCGGCCGGGGGGTAGGGGGAACGAACTCAGGACTGACTAGACCCCCGACAAGGACGGACGGACTGATTCTGGACTCACGGACAGCCGGGCTGATTCTGGACTCACGGACGGACGGACGGACGGACTGATTCTGGACTCACGGACGGACGGACTGATTCTGGACTGACTGGCGCTCTGACAATCTTCTTATTTAATACTTTATCTATCCCATTGCAGGAGGAGTGATTCTGTTCTCTGTTCCCTAACTCCCAGATTACCTATTTAACTACTACTCTGTTCAGAATAATTGTAATATTAAATGATTACTTAAATTGGGATGATTTGTCTGAATGAATTTAGTCAGTATCACATTCTAGCCACAACAGTTGAATAGTACTTTTTTTGGTGCAGGTTACAGTTGTATTATGTAATTGTCCAACTTGGGACACAGACTTGCAGATTAGGTCTAAAATAGAAATAGTAAGCGCAACCTTGGAATTAAAGCTACAGAATGTAACTTAAGGCAGCACTAGCATGAAACAACAAATCAGTCCACTCTGCCTCTCCCAGCGCTCCCTCTCCCTGCTCCACCACGCTCTGTCCAGCTCTTCAGATATTTTTTGTTATGAAATTACAAGAAATGAGAATGCAACAAAACTTACTGATGAAGCAGAAATAATTGAAAATCTGATTGGTTAGAAAGGTCAGTCCTATTCAAAACCTTTTAGAAGCTGATATCGCTGCACTGCTGCCAGCGCTGCTCAGTGAGTCTGGGTCACAGGAGGCTTCAACAACTCCTCTCCACATTAAAGTTTTGGAGCAGATTTCTACAACAAAAATATTTGAAAGAAGTTACATACTGTAAGCTTTAATAATACATAATATTAGGTAGCAGATTTATAATTTCCAGAGGACACAACATGAAAAAGTTAACAGCAAAAAAGTTTCACTTGTTCATTTGTTTGCCTCAGATGATGATGGTTCTACAGAAACCTGTTATGAAGCCTCTGATGAGGACTTCATTGTGGGGGATGTGGATGCGTTCCGAAAGGATTTCACATCTCGAGTGTGGCTGACCTACAGGAGCGAGTTCCCTCCCCTGCCCGGCTCCACCCTGACCTCAGACTGCGGCTGGGGGTGCATGCTGAGAGCTGGACAGATGATGCTCGCTCAGGCGCTTATCCTGCACTTCTTGGGCAGAGGTGAGTTAAATGACGTAAACAATCCAGTGTCATCGTGTTATGTTACCAGGTACAAACTAATTTTAGACACTGTAAATGTGCCTCATTTTAAGTTTCTTCGTTTCCATTTAGTTCAGTTCTTTCTTTCTGTGCAGGAGACCAGACTTGTAGCCAGTTTTGAGAGTTTCATTTTGTTATACTTCTGATTCTACTTTGGGCCATTTTATAGCTTGGGCCACTTCCATTCTCTTCAGCATCAGTTCACACCCTGTTTGTAAGGCTAAGGCGCCGTTAAAGTGCAATACTGGGACATTCAAACTTCCAAATGAATAGAACTACACCGATTCAGTTACTGAAACACACATGGTTCTGTTTGTTTTAGGCAAAATCCTTAAATTTTAAAGGATTTCTTGTTCCTAATGGAACATTGAACTGGAACATTGTGCTAAATGATCACAGTCAGAGAGGAGTCAGATCGTCAAATAACAGTTGGTCCTTCATTTGATCATAGAGTTTGGAAACCAGCTGCCTTTTCCTTCATTAATATTAAGGTGAGGAATTTAAACATCATTAACTCTTTTCTGGAGTTCAAGATATACAGTGGCTTCAGGAAGTATTAAGACCCCTTCACTTTTTGCACTGTATTGTGATGTAGATGTCATTTAAAATTGATGCAATTACTATTTTTGCCCACTAATCCACACTCAATTCCCCTAATGACAAAATGAACATTTTTTGAAATATTTTTTTGCTAATTAATTAAGACCCTTAATTTCGTACCTTGTAGAAGCCCTTTTAGCAGCACTTACAGTTTCATGTCTTCTTGGTGAGTCGATACACATTTTGCACATGTGGATTGGAGCAGTTTGTCCCATTCTTCCTGGCAGATCCTCTCTAGCTCCATGAGACTGGATGGAAAGCATCTGTCAACAGCCATCTTCAAGCGTCTCCACAGATGTTCTATAATGTTTAAGTCTCAGCCAGTCGAGGACAGTCAGAGACTTGCCCCAAAGTCACTCCTGTGTTGTTCTAGTTGTATGGTTTGGTTCTGTGCCGTGCTGAAAGGTGAACCCTCACCTCATAGGAGTGTTTTCTTCAGAGTCCTCTGTGTTTGGTTGCATTCACCCTTCCCTCAGTTCTGACCAGTCCCCTTGTCCCTGCTGCTGAGAAGCACCCTCATAGCACAGTGTTGCCACCACATGCTTCACTGCAGGCATGGTGTTAGTCAAGTGAAGTGCAATGCCTGCTGTTCTTCAGACATAGTACTTGGAGTTCTGCCCAAAGGATTCACTTTTTTGTCTCATTAGAGCAGAAAATCTTTTTCCTCCTGGTGTTAGTCCTATAAATCCTGTTTGGGGAAAATGCAAAGCTTTAGAAGTGGTTTCATACCCTGCCTCAACACAAACAGGATACACCCAACTACAGGTTGGAGAGCCACAGCAGGGGCTCTGAATACTTTTGTAAATGAGAGAGTTCAGTCTTTGATTTTCTTTTTTTTTTAGTGCATTTGCAAAAAGTCCTAGAGAATGTTTTCAACACAAAGGGTACAAAAAGTAAAAGTGTCTGAATCCATTCTGGATGTCTAATAGCCACATTTAAATGACATCTATATAAAGACTGGAAATTGATCATCACATCTTTCATTAAGTAGTTAAGGTAACGCAGTTATTGGGCCAGAATTTGTATCTGTGTTCTCTCTCTCATGTTTGTTGCAGCCTAACGTTTATACATGATTTTGTTTCCTCCACAGACTGGACCTGGTCAGAGGCACTGACGCTCCAGCCTTTAGACACAGAGACATGGACTACCACTGCAGCCAAACGTATGGTGGCCTCTCTGGAGGCTTCTCTGCATGGTTCCCTGAGGCCCTCTGACCATGGACCATTGCCCCAGGCCCTGGTGCCCGGATCTGGAGCAGAGGCACATGCCCAAGAGATGCACCACCGGGCTCTGGTGTCCTGGTTTGGGGACAGCTCCTCAGCTCAGTTTGGCCTTCACCGGCTGGTCCACTTAGGCCTGACGATGAGGAAACGGGCAGGAGACTGGTATGGACCTGCTGTGGTGGCACATATCATCAAGTAAGTCTAAAAATTTTATCAGAGATTAATCACACTTGTTACAGGCTTGCAGGCAATTTTGTTAAGTCACAAATATTGATCAACTAATCATTTCACTACTATTACTGTTACAATTCCAATATTTCAGCAAAAATTTGGGCTATGGATTTTAAGTATCTGTGTAAAGGAAGATGGTATCAAAAGAAAAATATAATGATGCAGATAAATATAATTTACCTGTATACGAGTTAATAACCACAGTGCTGTTACTTCCAACCCTTTTGTTAAGGCATTAATATGTGTATACATTACTGTGATTTTATTTATTTTTCAAAAATGCTCATTAATTTCAAGCCCATAACCTCACCTTCAGCTTCAGATATAAACTTCTTGGCGGGTATAACTGCCTATGTCTCCCAGGACTGCACAGGTATGAAAGATGAGCTCGCTGTTGCAGGATACTGGGCACGATGCCCAAACTGACCCTTGTTTTTCCACCACCTCTCTGCTCCTGGGAGACAGAGGAGCTGTTGAGAGTGGTGACATGAGTTTAACTGCGTCTATTCCCCAACAAACAGATCCATTCCAAATCTATAACCTCCTGCTCTAACCTCTTCTTAACCTCAGTAACCTGTGTTTTGATTCATGTTTGTCCTCTCAGTCACTAGAGTTGAAGATATGTTTGCGTGAGAGCAAGTGCTTTGGTGTGTTACAGGATTTCTACTAGTCACAGAGAGAAAATGGGAGTGAATTTAACTTGTGTGCTCTTGACAATATGATGCTGTGATGGAGTTTAGGGCAGAAAAATTATTCTGTTATTAAAATGTCAACAATGTTCATAAACAGTTATTAATGATTTACCAAGCAAAAATGTGAAACACTATGAACTGGATGTCTTTGGGTTTGGGGCTGTTGTTTGGTCATAACAAGCGATTTGGAGACATTGTGACATTTTACAATTTATCTGACCCTTAGAGAAGTGATTAAATTAGTAATTGTAATAGTAACTGACACATTAATTGATAATGAAAATAAGAATTACCTGTAGCGCTAATAGAATTAAGAAGTAAGCTGGGTATGGTAATTTCACTGTATAATGATAGAGCAAAAACAAAATGATCTTTCAGAGGAATTGATTCAACCTGAAAGAATACACAAGCCATACAAAAGGGGAAAAAAACATTAAAAATGACATTTTTAAGATACTTGTGGATGGAGAAGAATGGAGAGGTTTTCTGTTAATGTTAAAAGACAATAAATATTACAAGGTGCAGTCATTTACATGGCATCCACAACATTTTACTGCTATAAAGATTAAATATTGGCACAAGTTAGTGTCTTATGGACAAAAACATAAGCCACCATACATAACTGAAAAACCAGGAATGGTACAAAAATGAAAATGGATTAAGAGCCAGTCTAACAGACTGAGAGGTTGACAAGGAGTCGGACAGAATGACCTCCAGCTGACCTTTGTGTTATTGATCCTCCACAGTGTACAGTGCTGATGTTGTTGACAGCCACAGGCCACCAAGAGAAGAGCAAACCTATGCTGAGAGATCAGATGCCCCTCCTCCGCCACTAAATAACCAACCAGCCTCTGCCTCCGCCTTGCCAGACAGCCGAGCCGTCATCATCCTCATCCCTGTGAGGCTGGGAGGGGAGAAGACGAACCCAGAGTACTTTGACTTTACAAAGGTGAGAGATACCTGTAGATAAAGGGTGAAGTTTGAACTTACTTTTTTTTTATGACAGGGTTTTACAAGCACTCACATATTTAAGAACAAAGCTACAGCAGTAAGATGTTTCACAGGGGAAAAGTAAGTAGGAATAATTACACTGTGAATAGGAAGTGGTCACTATGGAGAAGGGTGAGTTTAAAATATGTTTTTATGCCATTGAAATGTAGCCAGTGGGAAACGAAATGAAATTATTTAATACTGTGTGCTCTTCTGTCCTTCTCTGCTCATTTAGAGCATATTGAGTCTGGAGTATTGCATAGGCATCATCGGAGGGAAGCCCAAACAGGCCTGCTACTTTGTAGGATTTCAAGGTTAGTCTTAACGTCATGGAAAACTGAAAGACACACAGAAAGAGGTTGGTGTGAACAGCAGATTACTTTGCATAAAATACCCTTTTTATGTGAAGAGACAAAGTAAGTTATGTATTCCTGTTTGGATGAGGAAAATAGAGAGGAGTGGAAATGGAATAAAGTGAAGCAGGGCTTGCTTTATTCTCTCTGACCCATCAAAGCCTCACCCATTTATCACAAGTAAACCTCCTGAGTTGTGAGCTGTAATTGATTTCCATAAGATGCATGCATTAAATTTCAGCAGGGCCCCAAAGTGAGCCACTCTTCATCACCTTCAGGAGCCAGGAGGAACCTTCAGTTGTACATCTTGGCAGTCAATATTTACGCATTTACATTTTACCAATTTGAAATACAGTGGTGGATGATGTCTAAATGACAAGCAATACATTCTACCTGCCAAGGCGCAGCTCAGCGCTGCATTTATCATATGCAAATGGTCGAATATAATTGTGTGTTTGTAAAAGTAATTCCCCCACACAAAAATTAAATGACAATCTCTTTTTTGTGGGTGTAAAGAATGTGCTTGTACAAACGCATCTGATTATGCAGAATTTAATCCACCCTGGTGGATATTAAAAAGCAACAACCTTCTGGGAGGCACATTTGACGCACACAAGCCTAACAGTAGGCCAGGCGGGTGACTTTGAGCTACTCTGCATAGAAATTGGAGAAGCACGTTTTTGTAATAATCCGATGTTTTTGAATAACTTGTCTTTTGTTTTGTCCTTGCAGATGACAGCTTGATTTACATGGACCCTCATTACTGTCAGTCTTTTGTGGATGTCAGCACCAGCGATTTCCCTCTCCAGGTAATGTGAAATTACACAGACGAGCTGACTGGGGCTCTAGTAATGTGAATTTAATAGTTTCTGTTAGTACTTAAGGGTATGAATCTTATAGCAGCCCTTGGCCCAATTACTGAGTCCCTGTCTACTGATTTATTTGCTACTCACATGTGTGAAACTGCCACTTAAGAAAAATACGACAAATACAGGATCAGGTACTGTGAGCCTGAATATTTTAGGACCCATACATAAAAATCGGCACACAGCACTACATAGCAACTTTGTTTTATGCTTTTGCATGCTGTGGTATACGATGTGACAACACACCAGAGTTGTATATTTATGGATGCTGTGACAGCAGATAAATAGGATGCAGAATACAGCTTCTTCTGTGTTGACGCTGCCATGGAGTGCATGCCCTGCAGTTATCTGGCCTCTCAGCCTGATGAATATTTTCAGATGTGTTTTGTCTCTTTTGTCTAGTCGTATCATTGCCCCTCACCAAAGAAGATGCCTTTCAGCAAGATGGACCCAAGCTGCACCATAGGTTTCTACTCTAGAAGCATCCAAGACTATGAGAGAATCAGCCAAGAGCTGTCCAAGGTGGGGGAAAGCAGGTCATCTTAAAGTAACTTCACCACTGTTGCCCTGTCAATTATTGTTTTAATAGTACCATATATTCATTGTTTGTTTTGTGTTGACCAGTAGGTGGCACCATTTAGCCATGAGTCTGACTCAGTTCTTACTTTCCTCATACAATCAGCTCCTTAGGTTGTCCTCCCAACTTAAACGTATCATGCTTACTCTGTTTCTGTGTAATAAAATTAATGAAATGTCCCTTGTGGCAAATTAAAAAAAAAAAAAAAAAAAAAAAAACCTCATGTTATGTTAAGTGCTGAAATTGAAGACAGACTATTGTGAAATATACAGTATGGTGTAAAACTAACAGTTCTCTGAAACATTGGTCTAAATCAAATAAAATCAAATCAAATTTTATTTGTATAGCGCCAAATCACAACAAAAGTCATCTCAGGACACTTTACAAAGTAAGGTCTAGACCTTACTGTTATCAATATTATTACATAGGGAAAACCCAACAAATCCCCCTTGAGCAAGCACTTGGCGACAGTGGGGAGGAAAAACTCCCTTTAACGGAAGAAACCTCCGACAGACCCCGGCTCTTGGTGGGCGGCCTTCTGCCTCGACCGGTTGGGGTGAGTGGATAAAGGAGAGACAAAAGAAGAAAAGCAACAAGACACAACAATCAAACACTGATCAGGTCGATGTGGCCGGTGACTGCTCGTCAGAGACGTAGAGCTCCAGGGCCAGGGCAACCTGCAGAAAGGTACAGGGAGAGAGAGAGAGGACACACTACGGGAGAAAGGAGACACAAAGTTAGTAATGTGTAATAGTGGCAAGCTAGTGGCAGAGGTGCATGCGCAGACAACTGGAGTTATGACCTGGTCTGAACAGCCAGATTTTAAATCAT